CAAAAAGACAAAAGCAAAGAAAACAAAACAAATACAAATAAAATAAATGAAATAAAATCCTTTCCTCTCAGCCAAGCTGTGCCAATCTCTTCGGTACCCAAACAAGAAAATACTTGCTTGTTTAATGACTGAGCATTTGCTCTATATAAGTAGTCAATAAGTAGTTTTGACGATCATCTATTTATTGTTAACAGTAACACAGACCCCAGATGCTCCCAGTCTGTAAATAGAGGCAAATGCCAGTCCTGTCAATATAGATGATGACAGTTATGATATTGGCAGCAGCTGGGAATGATGGTTTTGAAAACAGTAAAAAAATCATGAAGTATGTTCTATTTTGTTTATCCCCTCACCCTACCTGAATTCACTGCTTGCAACTTTCTATTGTAATTAGAAACAGCTATATTAAGAATAAGTTTGTGTGCTGTAGATGCTGTCTTGAATACCATGGCAACTGCGTGCTCTTAGTGAAACATTTTGTCTAGATTATACATTTAGAAATTTTAAAAATAATATTTAGAAACAATGGGCATATTTCGGTAACAGCTTTAGGCACGGAATTCTTGCTCAGAGACACAAAAAATTAAGCTTAAGTACAAGAAGGGTGGGAGGTCAGGAACTGATGATGCTGAGGAGGAAAAGCTTAGTTTCCAATCATGGAAAGCTTGCAAACATCCTTTTTTTTTTTTTTTTGAGATGGAGTCTCGCTTTGTCTCCAGGCTGCTGGACAGTGGCATGATCTCAGCTCACGGCAACCTCTGCCTCCTGGGTTCAAGCAATTCTCCTGCCTCAGCCTCCCGAGTAGCTGGGACTACAGGTGCATGCTACCATGCCCAGCTAATTTTTCGTGCTTTTAGTAGAGACGGGGTTTCATCATGTCACCCATGATGATCTTGATTTCTTGACCTTGTGATTCACCCACCTCAGCCTCCCAAAGTGTTGGCATTACAGGCGTGAGCCACCTCGCCCCGCCATTGTCTTATTTTATGATGACTTTTTGGTCAAGTGCAGTGGTTCATGCTTGTAATCTCAAAATTTTGAGAGGTCGAGGTGGGAAGATTGCTTGAGCTCAGGAGTTCAAAACAGTCTGGGCAACATAGTGAGACTCTGTCTCTATTCAAAAGTAAGTTAGACTAGTATGGTAGTGCAAGCCTGTAGTCTCAGCTACTCAGAAGGCTGAGGTAGGAGGATCCTTTGAGCTTTGGAGGCCAAGGCTGCAGTAAGCCAAGATTGCACTGCCGCACTGCAGCCTGGGTAATGGAGAAAAACTCTGTCTCAAAAATTTTATATATATATATAGGAATGGGGTCTTGTTATGTTGCCCAGGCTGGTCTCAAACTCCTGAACTCAAGCGATCCTCCCACGTCGGCTTCCCAAGCAGCTGGGAGTATGGTTGTGCACTACTGCACCCAGTTCACAATCATCCTTTTGTTGGCAGGTACACTTCTAATGTACACAAGTATAGAGAAGAAGGGAAAAGCAATGGGAGTCAGAAAGTCCTGTTCAGGCTTCCTGGCTCTGCTACTAAGTGTGTGACCAAGAGTTTTGTGCCTTAGTTTTCCTATCTGAATGATCAAGAAGTTGGTCTAGATATCTCCAAGGTCCATGCAGCTTTATGCTTATGAGATGAGGCTTTCTCTTCCTGAACCTACGCATTTGAGAGCCTTTTCCTTGTACTTGTTTATATACAGAGCAGTCTGGATAAGAGTTCAAGCTTGGAATTATAACAAACTTTAGTTTAGACCCTGACTCTTCCCACTTATTCACTATGTGTCCCTGGGAAAGTTCTTTATTTGTGAGATGGTTCTTATAACAGTAACCACTCATAGGGTTGTTGGGAGGATTTACATGAGTTTAATATTAGTATCTAGCTCATATGTTACACGGATTATATGAGACAGTACACACAAAATCTGTTTAGTACTGTGCTTGGCCCATCAAAAGCAATCAATAAATGTCAACAAATACAAATAACAACCTTAAAGAACATTTTTCCCTTTTGAATGCCTTTAATGTAACACACAGCCAGCCAACCCTATGGAATTAAAAACAGACAATTTTTTAAAATTCCCTTATGGTAAAATAATCTTTAATTTTTGTTTTCTTTTGTAGACACAGGATCTCACTCTGCTATCCAGGCTGATCTCCAACTCCTGGCCTCAAGCCATCCTCTTGAATCAGCCTCCCAAAGTGTTGGGATTACAGGCATGAGCCACTGGGCCTGACCAAGGAATCTTGGGATACAAAGTGTCCCAAGTAAGATAGTAATGCAGATGCACATTTCTTGAAAAATCATGACACCCAATGTAACATCTCCCCCCCGCCCCCCCGCCACCCCGGCACTGATTCATGCCGCTAACCCTTGCCACACTGAGATTTTTCAAGCCTGGATTTTGTATTAAGAGGGCTTTCTGCATAACCATCTAGAAAATACTGTGCCCAGGTCTAATCCTTTGGAGAGAATTGTGTCTGGTCAGTGACAGTTTACCTGCCTGCCTCTCCAGCTTTTCACTCCATATCTTAATCTTATTATCTAGTTTATCTAAAAGGAGCTGACTCTTAGTATTGCTTTCCTGTCCTAAGTGGCTTACACACACAGATGCAGTTATATTTGCATGTTTTGGCCTCAGTTGCATACTGCCTATTCAGCAGCTATAATAGAAGTAACTACTAAACCATATTAACATCACAGTTTCTTAATGATCCCTGTGAATTTAGTTTAAGAAGATGATTTGGTCGGGCGCAGTGCCTCGCACCTATAATTCTGAGCTTTAGGAGACCTAGTTGGGAGGATTACTTGAGGCCAAGAATTCAAGACCAATCTGGGCAACAAAATGAGACCCCCCCCATCACAAAACATTTAAAAATGACAGTTAAAAATTAAAATTAAAAAAAAAAAAACACATTAGCTTGGTAATTCCAGCTACTCAGGATGCTGAGGTGGGAGGATCACTTGAGGCCAGGAACAGCTGGCTGCAATGAACTATGATTTCACCACTGCACTCCAACCTGGGCAACTTGTGAGTGAGACTCTATCTCAATTAAAAAAAAAAAAAAAAGACAATTAGAAATGTGCTATGTACATATTTATTCAGCCACAGACTTATAAGTAATCATTAAAAATTCAAACATTTCGGCCGGGCATGGTGGCTCAAGCCTGTAATCCCAGCACTTTGGGAGGCCGAGGCGGGTGGATCACGAGGTCAAGAGATCGAGACCATCCTGGTCAACATGGTGAAACCCCGTCTCTACTAAAAATACAAAAAAAAAATTAGCTGGGCATGGCGGCACGTGCCTGTAATCCCAGCTACTCAGGAGGCTGAGGCAGGAGAATTGCCTGAACCCAGGAGACAGAGGTTGCGGTGAGCCGAGATCGCGCCATTGCACTCCAGCCTGGGTAACAAGAGCGAAACTCCGTCTCAAAAAAAAAAAAAAAAAAATTCAAACATTTTAAACCAGGCATGGTGGTACATGCCTATAGTCCCAGCTACTTGGGTAGGCTGAGGCAGAAGCATGCTTGAGCCCAGAAGCTCAAGGGTAAAGCCTGTGAATAACCATGACGTTCCAGCCTGGGCAACATAGCAAGATCCTGCCTCTTAAGACATAAGTATCCTGGCCAGGCGTGGTGGCTCCCGCCTGTAATCCCAACACTTTGGGAGGCCGAGGTGGGCGGATCATCTGAGGTCAGGAGCTCAAGATCAGTCTGAGCAATATGGTGAAACTCCATCTCTACTAAAAATAAAAAATTAGCCAGGTGTGGTGGCACGTGCCTGTAGTCCCAGGTACTCGGGAGGCTGAGGCAAGAGAATTGCTTGAACCTGGGAAGTGGAGGTTGCTGTGAGCTGAGATCACCCCACTGCACTCCAGCCTGGTGACAGAGTGAGACTTTGTTTCAAAAAAAAAAAGAAAGAAAGAAGTATCTTAAGTGATAGTCTTCATAACCTTATTCAGAGATAATATCCTTATTAATGTCTTCTAAATTTTCTCTAAACATGTTCTATACGTGCTTCTTCACTGAAATGAAAGAATAATTAAAATAATTCAAATAATTTGTTATTGGTTTCTTTTATAATTTTATTTTATTATTTTCTATTTTTTTTAAAGACTAGGTCTTTTTCTGTCACCCAGGCTGGAGCGCAGTGGTACCATCACAGCTCACTGGAGGCTCAACCTCCAGGGCTCAAGTGATCCTCCCACCTCAGCCCTTTATATTTTTCTAGAGACGAGGTTTCACTCTGATGTCCAGTCTGGCCTGGAATTCCTGAACTCAAGTGATCCCCCTTTTTTGGCCTTCTGAAGTGCTGGGATATAGGCTTTGTAATTATAAATTAAATGTGCAATAGTCAAAAATTGTGTGATTCATTTTTGGTAACTATATTTCCAACTGGCATATGGACATTTTAAGAGTCCTCCAAAGCTGGGACTGCAGTTGTCTTGGTCACCAGTATGTCCCCAGAACCCAGCCCTCTACCTACTACACAGCAGGTACTCACTAAGTATCTGCCAGCTGAATGTTGAGTGCATGAATGACTAAATAACAAAAATGCAGCAGACTTCTCAGCGTATTTCTGGGATAATTCTTACTATCATTATTTTCAGTGACTTAGCCCCCAAAGATATGGAATAATTCTTTTTTTAATAAAAAAAAATTTTTATTTGAATGAAACCATTGTAATTACCATGAAAGTGATTTGAAATAGAAAGATCTCTGTGAAAGGAAGTTTATAGCATCACTATTTATAGAAGAGAAAGCAGCAGAGGTATGCATCTGGAAGTGAATATAACATTGTAAAATCAGCCCACATTAAATACGAAAAAAGCAAAACAATCAAAATGCAGCATTATTTATAGGATTAAAAAGGAGTTTGAACAGTACAGAGTTAAATGTTTGTATGTGTGAATTTTGAGCTGCTATGTTAGCGAAAAGCCTTAGCATTTGTACAGCATGATGTGTACCCTAATCCCAACCACCACCAGATTAGGACACAAACTGATAATGATTCCCTCCTTATTTTACAGTTTTATTAGTGATTTCTCTCTAAAAAGAGACCCAAATAAATGTGGAGCTCGCTCATTATCTACAGAGTGAGGAATCACAAAATACCATAGTCACATAACAAAAGCAATTGTTTTACCTTTCAACAGCTGATGTTACGTACAATCTATCACAAGAAGCATATCTGTGCATTCATGAGCTGATTATATTAACCTCTAGAATTTCAGACAGGAGGAGCACATCTAAGCGTATGGAGACTCTCTTACCTTACAAAGTAAAAGCAGGCATTTTCTATTTTAAGACTTTTATTTCTGTGTAAAACGAAGAACTCCTAGAGGTCAAATAAGAAAAATATACCAAACTCTAAGCACTATTGCATCATCAAACAAAGAAGACTGAGGTAGAAGTCAAGCAACATAATCCACAATTTCAGGTATTCTCAGCAACCATCGCGTGTCGCAAGTAAGATCTATTTTTTTTTTAAGTCTCAGCTTCCAAAAAAATCAATAATCCATACTCTAAAATCATATGTAAAAATATGACCAACAGAAGACACCCAAACTTTTGTCACGGTAACAGAGTAAATGCTTTTACTAAAAGCTGCCGACATTTCTATCAGTAGTAACCGTAAGGAGGCCGCTGGTTGTAACCATAATGTCCATATTGGTGGGGATAGTAAGGTTCTTGTCTGTGTTGCGGGTAATTGTTACCCCAGGATCGTCCATGCCACCGATTGGATCGATTGTCACTTGGGCACCCACATCTGCTGTCCCTGCCTCTGAACTGCCTGTTATCTTGCAACCAGTTGCCTCTGTTTCTTTGGTTCCCACCAGCTCTGCTATTCCATTCCTCAACAATTGGAGGGGACTCAGGACGGTGTTCCAGGTATTCCTGATACTCCTTGTCAACTTTTGTGAATCTACTAGCAAGCATCTCTTTAAAGTTTGGAACCGCTTGGGCAGTGTCAGTCATTCTGAAATTCCCAGAGATTTGAGGCAGCTGTATTGCTTAATGTTTAGGTTGCTTAAATCTCCCAAGGGCTGTGCCTATCCAGTTCGGGACGAACCCCGCCGGCGAGACACTGAGAGGCAGCCGGAGAGGTGGCCTCTGGCTCACCATGCCGTGGAACTCCAGACCACTCCAGCTCTCCAAGGCAATGGAGCCACTTCCGCTAGAATCCGACAATCACCTGACTTCCGCTTCCCGCAGGCTAATGTCTATATGGAATTATTCTAAAGTTGCTTGATCAATTTCATGAACATTTTACATTTTTATAGACAGTTCGAAATTGATCTGAGTTTATACTAATTTGTACTCTATCAACAGTGAATTAGAGAGCCTATTTTCCCACACTTTCCAAAAAAGTGGAATTTTACAACAAAATACATATGACTAAAGAGAGGAGTATTTTAAAACTTGATTTATTACATCTCTGTTATTGTGAGGTGATGAGAAATGTTATCTTTATATGCAGGTGGGAAGTTGGGAGAGAGAAAATAGAGTCCTCTTTAAATGAGAGATTTAGGTCTGCTGGGTTTGACTTGGCAAAATTTTCAAAAATCATTTGACTTTGGATGTAGCTCCAATATGGACTGTCGTATGTAGATGGTATACTGTTGCAACTGCTCAATTTTGTCCTCAGAAAACTAACATTACATAGCAAATGTTTAAAAGTCTTTGTGGAACTATAACAGAATACAGAAAGGGGCGTATATTATAAATCTTTTGTCCAATGAATTTTCACAAATTTAATATATTTATGGAGCTAGCACCCAGATCAAGAAACTGAATATTCTTAGTACCCCAGAAGTCCACTGAATAGGTTCTCATTTATACAGGTATACAGGTATTTGTCTCACTTATGTCAGCAAATTGATTGTATGTATAGCAGTAATAATATGAAGATACATTTTCTCTTAATATATTTAAGTCACAATTGCATATAGTTACATATATACTGCATAGGGATTCATACTGAAGTTTTTCTGTGGAATTCTTCTTATTATTATACAACATGTTTTAAAGACAGGTCAATAGAAATAAATAGAAGATCCCTCATGTCACGCATAGCTAAAATTAAAATCACTGGTTACCCTGCACATTCTTAGAGGTTTCCAGATAGCGCTGAACACCAACCATGCCAGTCATAGAAACAGCTGAAGACTCTGTGTAACATGCAGTGACGAGGGTGATTCAGGCCCATGACTATTATTAGAGCAAGCAAGTGCTAGATGTGTAAACAGAGTACTAGATAATGCCTTTGGAAGAGGGGAAGAAAGTCAATCTGAGTATCTGGCACTGAATCTCTCCCAACTGTACCAGTCCCAATTCAAATGTCACGTCAGTCCCTATTCCCGCTGCTCTTGGCCTTGGACTCTGCATGTCTGCTGCCAGGGCACAGTCGAGCTCCACGTGGCTGTGTCTCTGAGTGACCTGGACTCACCTCCCTTCATCAAGTAATCCTCCAGGAAGAAAGGGAGAGATGTGTGTGATGGGTCAAACAGTCCAGAGACTCCAGTAAGCACATTTCTCCAATCTTTTGTCGCATTTTACTGTGACTTCAAGAGAAATTGTTGACTTGTTAGGCTTTTTTAAAAGTGCCAGAGATCCTTTGGTAGTTCATAAGCGTGATGACTGGGTGTTCACGCTCATGTGTGAGATGTGTCACCCTGCCAGGTGTGGTGGCTCACATTGTAATCCCTGCAGTTTGGGAGGCCAAGGCAGGAGGATGGCTTGAGCCTAGGAGTTTGAGTCGAGCCTGGGCAACAAAGTGAGACCTTGTCTCTACAAAGAATCCAAAAATTAGCCAGACATAATGGCATGCACCTGTGGTCCAAGCTATATAGAAGACAGGTGTGGGAGGATCCCTTGACCCAGGAGGTGGAGGCTGCAGTGAGCCCTGATCTCTCCACTGTACTCCAGCCTGGGCAATAGAGCTAGACTGTCCAAAAAGAAAGGAAGGAAGGCAGGAAGGAAGGGAGGGAGGGAGGGAGGGAGGGAAACCTGCCACCCTTGAATCTGGTTACCACATCAGCACATTACCTGACACGAAATTAAAGAGAAAAAAAGTACCAGAAACAACACAATAGTTGTATGATTTTTTTGTGGTGATAATTACATTTTACGTCTGAAGGTCCAAGTCCGAAAGGTGAGCACCAGCCATGTAAATGGAATCAAAGCAGAAGCTAACTCTCTCCAGTGAAAATAAAAATCAGTTGCACCATGAGACAAACTGGTATAATATGAAATCCATTTGGGCTTTGTTCCAAGTTCCTGACATGGAGCTCCTAAATCCCTTGTAATTGCCCAAGTGATAATGGTGATAGGAGCATCTTCTGTCATAACTGGTTCTTGTACAAGTTGTTGAACACCTCAGAATTTTGTGAGTGATAAAAAAAATTCACCACTGTTGGGATTTTCTTTTGAGAGAGGGTCTTGCTCTGCCACTCAGGCTGGATGCAGTGGCACAAACGGCTCAGTGCAGCTTTAAACTCCCAGGCTTAAGTGATCCTCCCACCTCAAGCTCCTGAGTAGCTGGGACCACAAGCGCACATCACTATGACCGCTTAATTTTTTTTTTTTTTATAAGAGACAAGTTCTCACCATGTTGCCCAGGCTGGTCTTGAACTCCTGGGCTCAAGTGATCCTCTCACCTCAGCCTCCCATAATACTGGGATTGTAGGCATGAGTCACTGGGCCTGGCCCCAAAAGCACTTTTGATCACACCTGAGTTTATGCTAATAAGGTGACTTATGGCAGGGTCCCTAGCTAGCTTCAGGATAGGGCCAGCCAGTCATTAGAAAGAACATGTGATTGGAGGACTAAAATGTCAGAACATTCAGTCCCTCCCACCAACCTACAGGAAAGGGGTCATTGAGGGCACTGGAGATTAAACTCCATGAAAACTTCCGGGACAATGGAAGCTCTGCTCTCTCTCCTCCAAAACTCACCCTCCGCCTCTCTTCATCTGTGTATGCTTGCTATTATCCTTTATAACAAGCTGGTAAATATAAGTGTTTCTCTGAGTTCTGGGAGCTGTCCTATCAAATTAGTTGTACCCAAGTGGGGAGCTCTAGTTTGTGGTTAGTGAGTTAGAATGGGTGGCCCGGACTTGAGATTGGCATCTGAAGAAGAGGGGAGTCTTTGGGGACTGAGACCTCACTTGTGCGATCTGATGCTGCCTCCAGGTAGATAGTGTCAGAATTGAATTGAATTACAGGACACCCAGTTGGTTGGTGTGTAGGAAAAAACCTTACATACATCTGGTGTTCTGTATTCTGCATTTCATTGAGCATGTGAGTAGAAAGGAAGAAAGTGTTTTTCCCTTAATGCAGAAAAAATGTTTTAAAACAATTCTAAATGTACCAAATAATTAGAGATTTCACTTTTTTTTTTTTTTTAAGACAGAGTTTTGTTCTATCTCCCAAGCTGAAGTGCAGTGTCACGATAACAGCTTACTGCAACCTGAACTCTCAGGCTCTCACGATCCTCCCACCTCAGCCTGCCCTGAGGAGCTGGGACCACAGGCAGGTGCCACCGCACTGGGCTAATAAAATTTCACTTTCATTTGGCAGACTTCGCTAACATTCAGAATCCCAGTAAATTAGAGAAATTGTTTAAAATAGAATAAAATTCAATGTAAGTTTGAGGCACAACACTTGGAGAAAATAATCAACTTGCAAGATGGCATTTTTGTGTATTTTTCTAACTTTATCCTTATAATGGTACAGTGATTTAGTTGCTATTACTGCCATCTTATAACTGAGGACGCTGATATAAGTGACTACCCCTCATGACCCACCTGGAAGGGGATGAAGGGAGGAGAGCACCCTGGTCTCTTTGACTCCAAAGTTTGTTCGCCCAGAGAGTATGTTCTACAAAATGACTATAGATTCCTTCAGCTCAACGATTCTACAATCTTTAGCCTAAAACATGAATGATAATGTGGAAATAGGTCAAAGACAGAAGTGAATTTAAATGCTACTCTCACGGAGACCTGCTGTGTACCAGGCATGGTACTAAGTGTGCCTCACGGATGTTCTCTTTTTCTTTCTTTCTTTTTTTTATTTTTTTTGCAGATGGGGTCTTGCTATGCTGCAGGTTGCCCAGGCTGGTCTTGAACTCCTGGTCTTAAGGGGATCCTTCCACCTCAATTCCCAAAACTTTGGGATTATAGGTGTGAGCTGCCACGCCCAGCCAAGGATGTGTTCACTTAATCCTGTTACAACCAGTTTTCTGATGAGTCTTAGAGAGGTGAAGAAGCTTGCCCAAGATCAAGCAGGTAAGAGGTGTGGAGGTGGGGTTTGGCAGCAAGTCACTGCAGACTAGACTGTAGTGCTTCCTCAAGGGGATTTTTAAACAGATGAAACACATCAGAGAAGTAACACTCCAGCTTCTGTCTTTGAAGGATAATCCTTAGGCATCTCAGAGGCATATGGTTCCGTTTGGTCAGGTGCATGGGTGCCCCTGTTATTTGTGGGCTCAGGATACAAATATGGGTAGAGACCCACATACCATATGACTAATGTATAAATACAAACCAAGCTAACATGCTGCTAAATAGATTATGTTCAATCTTTCTATATCTCTAGGATGTGTGGAAGGCCAGGCTTCAGGTTCTAACTCTCCATCTCCTTAGCATGACAAGCCAGAGGGTGATGGCATGAGGCAGTCCTCTTCTTCTGCAGTGAAGGATGATGTGCTGCACCTCCCTCCCACCTCCCATGGGAGCTCTGGGCTATGTATCACCCTCCAGGATCTTGGGTGTGTGCCTGGCTGCAGCATCTGCTCTTAAGAAGAGCACCCCCAGAAAAGAGCCAGAGCAAGGCCTGTAAATCAACCTGAGGCCATTTGGGCAGTAAAGTCACGGGGTGCTGTGTATTTTGAAGCTTGATCTAGATAGTGGCCATGTGACTGTTGGGTGGGCAGGGCACCTAGGCTGCACCTCCCTACCCAGAGGCTACAGTGGACGAAGCTCAGAGCAAGGCACTGCTATGTTCAGGGCTGCTCCCGCTAGGCCTACAGGCCCGAAGTACTGCTTGTAGCACAGAGCCAAATTCAAAGAAGCATCTTTGGCCAGTTGCACAGTGGCTCATGCCTATAATCCCAGCACTTTGGGAGGTCAAGGCAAGTGCATCACCTGAGGTCAGGGGTTCGAGACCAGCCTGGTCTAAATGATGAAACCC